AAAAAAGGTCCTACGACCTTTAGGAGCCAAGATAGCCCTTTTTTTAAATTACCGTTACGTTAATTAACAACATTAGGGGCTGAACTAAATGAGAAAAGTCAAACATAACAAAAAAACATTGAAACTGTTGAAACACCAGCTTGTTATTTGTCAACAAGAGCCAAAATAAACAACACAGTGTTGTATACAAACTTAAATATGGCGACTGCCCAAAAACTTACATCGGTCAAACTGGTAGAAATTTTAATAAACGAATAGCAGAACATAAAAGGACTTCCAATAATAGAAAAACAGATTCTACATACGCACTTTAGCTTCTAGATTATAATCATTCTTTTAATGACGAATTTAAAATTCTTAACATTCAAAATAAAGGCTTTAAGCTATCTTTATTAGGATCTATGGAAATTAACAAATTAAAAACACATAATTCTAGATGACCAACTTGAGATAAACAGTTTTCCCCTCCTCAACCTATTTCATTAAAGAGTATAAAGTGTAAACGCATGCCAAAAATAGATCACTTGAGAAAGACAATGAAGTGTTGAAAACAAAGTTTTCAGTATTTTATTGTTACATAAAATGAATTTCCATCAAGTAACGGTCAAATCCATCAGTTATAGAAAAAAGTTTTTGAGCTAACAAAATTATTAAAAATCATTTAAACAGGAGTTTTGTGAACAAAGAGTACTTTTCGTTCCAAACAGATTAAAAGGAGTGGGGCTAGCTGAATGAAGGGCCAGCCGCGCTTTTCAAAAAATCCAACACAGTTTCAAAATTTAACTTTAATTTCAAGAACGAGTTGCAAAAAGGCACATTTCGGCTCATTTTTAATAATATGGCGCAGATATTCTAATTTGCGCTCTTTGATTGTATGGAATATCTGTTGGTGTGGATTAATTTTTGGTGTGAATTAATTTTCTGTAAACTTTGGTTGCATATCCTGTAACCTCTTTTTCTTAATATATCCAGAAAAGGAAGTGAATTGTTGTTTTCTTTTTGGTGGTGAATTTGGTTGATTCTTTTTTATTGTTGATTCGAAATTGATTCAATGTTCGGGAGGTCAAATGCATAAAACATCATTTACATATCTCCACCATACTGCTCTTCTCCGGAGCTTGTGCGAAGGTTTTGTCAGGGAATATGTTAGATAACAATAGGAATAGCATGCACCTATATTTATAGTTATGGTAGATCGGGATAGGGCTCATTTATGAGTCCTGTAGACACACCAAGTTTCTTTAAGGGTAACTCCCTCATTTGGTTGGGTTGCATAAAAAACAAATCCAGTATCTACTATCTCTGATAGGACATTACCGGGCACTTCCAGCGGACATATGAGGAAGTTTCCTCCTCCTCATTACAAAGACGTTTTCTTGGGCCATCCGCCAATCCAAGCAGATGAATGTGCTGCCTGAGTCTGCAGTGGCGGGTAAGCATACTGACCACCAGAAAGCATCTTCTACGGTCTAGAAGGCGAAGTTGGGATGTAAGATTTTTGGATGGCCCCACTATGTAGAGCGTAGCCTGTTTCATAATTCCACAACTGGCCCAGAAGTCCTGACACCTCCGTAGAAGATCACTACCCCAACCAGTACTAAAAGCAGTCCAATCACACGTTTGAGTCTGAGTGGATGAGCTCTGGCTTGCCAGGGCGTCAGCCCGTTTGTTCCCTTCCACGCCTGTGTGTCCCGGTACCCACACCAAGTTAACCCTATTGGTCAGCACAACATGAGCAAGTGCTCTATTATACTCAAGAACCAGCTTAGAGCTCACCTTAGGCGCTTCCGAAACCCTTAGCGCTGCTTGACTGTCAGAGCAGATAGAGATGCTTTTGCCTAAGCAAGCTCTATTTATTATCTCCTGAGCACATACCAGGATCGCAAAGTTCTTGGCCCGAAAGTTCATGGGAGCCAAGAACCTGGCCAGATTTAAATCCGATTTCGCTCCTATATACTCCAACATTTACTCCGGATAGGTGCGTCGACGATCAGTGAAGGCTCTCGTTTCATCTACTCATCCCGGTCAGAAAATTGAACCAAGAAGGAGGATGAGAACTCAAATTGGGGGCCATGTTGTCCTGTGCCATAGAGAGCAAAGGACAACAATCGAGGACCTGTCTCCAGATGTCCCAAGGGCCCATACGACTATTCATTCCCAACCAGTATCCATGAACCTATGTTTACCGAGATCGCTTGTGTCAACAAGTGATCCACTTTCATGTTGTCGAAAAACGCAAAATTAGTCAGGAATGTTACGATTCATGTAGGATAGATATTTAAATTCATACGTTATAAAAAATAATTTTATCGTTCAAAATTGTTGGCAATAAATAATGAAATGTATAGTATAAAACTTACCTGACAAATTAATGATAAAATAATTAAAACCGACGTGTTAAAAAATACTTTTTAACGATGTAATAGAAATAGAGAAAAACTTTGAAGACTTACTTCGCTAATATTTTTTATTTACTCTAAAAGAACTAACTTTCGCTAAAATCCATCAACTGAACCGCTTAACCAATTAGGATAATCTCTTTTTCGTTACTTCTTTCATCATGATACTCTCCGTTTCGAAGGTTACAGACCATTGTCTCTTGAGTTTTATAACGGCTTAGGCATTTATTACCGTATTTTTTTGTTGTCCTTACTTGGCGCGTCTAAGCCAAGCTTTCGCTTCGGATTTCGTAAAAAATCGATTAATTCTACTACGTACTACTTTTTCCTTCCGATTAATTATAACAGTCTAGTAAGCCTTTTACGGAATTAAAAGTATAAGACGTTACGTAATCTTCTAGAAACGATAATTCGTTTAAAAATAATAGGGTGCGCAATGTTTTATGAGATAGTTTTTTAATAACCGTAATTTTCTACCTGTATTATATTCCTTTGCGGTATCGACTGCTTTATTTACCTTTCTCCATGAGTTACTATCGTGGTTATACCAATAATGTTCTTGTTTATAGAAATGTATCTAATCAGGTCATTATGGCCTTCGTCTCATATGTGTGTCATAATGTCAGAAATTCCAGATACTCGCATTACATGTATGCCTTTTGTTTTCTTCTTCTTCTATCCTTCATCCTCTACGATCTCGCGCTTCTATTTCCCATTGTTGTACCCCAATTCTAGATAAATCGGCTTCAACATCATCCTACTAAATCTGGTTTTTCAAATAACACTGTTCATCCTCTTATCGTACCAGGTGACCTGTCCATCTTATTCAGTTTGCCTTGATATGTCTAACTATGGGTTCAGTTCCATGCAGAGTCACCAAGTTTTCTCCAATCTCCTGTGAATTCATCTCTTTGAGCACATCTTTTGATCCTTGATCAGCAAATCCTTCTGTCAGCTCAAACGATATTTTACTTATTGCATATTCTAAAGCAAAATTGAACAGCAACGGTGACAAGGGGTCTCCCTGCTCAAGTCCAGAATTTATATCAAATGGCATCGATGTTCTGCTTCCTATCTTTACTTGCGCATATAAGTCTGTCATGCACATTTGCGTTAATTCAACTAATTTTCTTGGTTTTCCCATTTCTAACATTGCTATCCACAAATTGCTTCTTTTTATGGAATCATAAGCTTGCTGGAAATCTACGAAAATTTGGTGCACATCGCGGTTGAATTCCCAGTTTTTCTCTAATATTTGTCGGATGGTAAATATCTGATCCATAGTTGACCTTCCAGCACGAAAGCCGCATTGGTGGTCGCCTAGAATATCTTCCGAATATGGTGTGAGTCTCGTTAGCAAGATAATTGATAGCACTTTATATGATGTGCTAATAAGGGATATGCCTCTATAGTTTCGCAATTGTTTTTTGTTTCCTTTCTTATATATGGGAATAACACTTCTATTCCATTCTCTAGGCATTTTCTGTTGTTGCCATACTCTCAGAATGATGTCATACACTTTTTGGTGTAAAAGGTTTCCTCCTTTTTTAACTCTCCATTTATGCCATCATTTCCTGGTGCTTTATGGTCTTTTAGAGACGCCATCACATTCTGTACTTCCTCATATGTTGGTGCTGCTATTTCGATATCTGCAGAATCAAAACTTAATGTCTGCTTCCTCCGTCTCACTTTTAATATTAACAGTCAAAAGTACAGACCAAACATAGCACTTAACCATTCTTTGCCATAGTTCTAAACTGAGACGGTTATTGCAAAGAAATGACTTCATTTTCATAAAAGTAGTTTTAGTCATTGCTATTCCACGTTTTATTTCTCTGTCTGGATCTAGTTGGTCCGTTATTACAGTGCCCAAATATGTCATTTTGTGAACTTTCTCAACTTGGACTCTGTTCAATTGAAGCTTTGCATCGGGATGTGGGTCACGACTAAACACGAAAAATTTGGTTTTGTTTGAGTTTATTTTAATGCCCATTTCCTCTCCTACCTCCTGAATACGATCCAGCAGAAGTTGAAGACCTTCAATATTATCTGATAGAATAACTGTATCGTCTGCATATCTAATCACATTAAGTAGTTCCCCGTTGATTTTTATTCCATATGGTTGTCTCTCAAGTGCCTTTTTAAATAACTGGTCCGAGTAAACATTGAACAATGTTGGCGACAAAATGCAACCTTGTCTGACTCCTCGTTGTATGGGGATTGAAAACTATTACTCTTCATAATTTCTTCATAGATTTCGTCCGAGAATTGTCGCAGTATTTTTGAATTTTTGTAACAACTGAAGCTGACTTTATATAGTAACAAGACAGTTACTCGAGATATATGCTGCGCCAAACAGAAAACAGTTATTCCCAACGAGATATTTGATAAAAAACAAGTAATTTATAAAGAATATTAAAATTTATTGTATGGTTTCATTAGTAATTCATTCTTTAAAGATTCGTCCCTTGGTTGAATATTTTAAGTTGAATAAAGAATGAAGGTACCTCCAACCGTTTTCAAAAGTATAACAATATAAGTGATATTAATTTAATTGTTTTTTAAGTGCTTCAACATCTAATGCATAAAAAAATATAAAAAATGTCGATGTACCGTTTCGTCAAAGACAGTTCTCCTTCGGGTACTCCGAAAAGACTTTTCGTTCAAGGAACTGTTCCCGGTTCTCCGTCGAGTTCCCAAATGGGACCGCCGATAGTGACAAGTTTTTCCGACACTGAAAATCTAACTGCCGTTTATACTAGAAAAAAGCTCTCTACAGAACTATTAGGTAGTTCGTTCGAATCTGTTAAAACTAGTAGGAACGGTGACGATGGAAAACGAAGAATTACGACGAAGATTGTTAGGAAAGTGATGACGTTGACCCGCGGTGAGGAACAGAGCCAAGCCGAGGATATGATGAGAAGAGCTGATTTGAAGAGTATTGAAGGTGGTCAGGAGATGACCGAGACTAGAAGTCACATGAGTGCTAAAAGAGTTAAGGTCAGTTAATACAAATAAATCTTGTTTAATATGTATGGTTATATTTTTTATTTATATCTTTTGGTAACTACTTAATTTTTAATTTTAATACAAAAATCTTTATTAAGTAAAAAATTTAATATTATCTATTTTACTCTATGTTTGCTGTGTTTTGCTTGTACAAACTTTGGAGCAAAAACTTAAACGCTGAACTTTAAAGACCGCAAATAAACTGGAAGTTACACAGCAAGTCATGAAACGTGCAAAACTGGGCGTGAGCCTTCGAGACCATATAAGAAATCCAACTAATCAGGGGAAAGATCAAGCCTTTAAGATTTCAACAAAGAAACAACGCAAAAGTGGAACTAGACAGGGCAGTTAGCGAGAATACACGATAGACGCTGGATAAGACGATTCATTAAATGAAGGCCCAGAATAAAATAAACCGAGGACGAAGGACCGATGACGTGAAAAGAGTAGCGGGAAACTGGCTACAAGCAAGCCAGTGTAGAGAACATAGAAAAAGACTGAGGGAAGCTTATATCTAGCAGTATATGAGATTGGCTGAATGATGCTCATTCTACTTAACAGGTTTTACTTTTGAATTTTCACTTTAAGTAGACCTATGGTAATGAGGTATTAACAGATTTGATTTGGAGTACCTTTCTAAAGTCCAGGATTATAAGCACGTGTCCTAATAGAAGAAATATTAATCGTGTGGGTAGCGAAGTGGATAGAGCTATCTGCTAGATCAGTCGCGTCTTCGAATCTCGCAGAAAACGGAATTTTTTCTATTAATTTTTATTGTTTAATATATACCAAGGATATCGTCTAAACGACAAGATAAATCAGCGAGCTGAAAGCTGTTTAAATCGATCTCAGTGTGGAAACTGCTTTACCAGTTATAACACCCTTTCATGTCAGGTACATAAGTCATATACAGACAATTCCGAGTTTCAACATCGAAGACAATAAAATTCCCATGTTCATCCATCAAAGATCTGGTCTACTGGTAAGGATTGATCTACTACTCCAAACTACGAACTACGATTGCAGTTACGACTGTACCTTTACGCTGTAGTAAAGTCAATCAATTTGGAGCATTTTCCACTTTCTGGACTCGTAAGAGATATCGTTACCACTCTTGACTAGAAATGATACGAATTACAGGCGTTCTGGCATAATCTCACGGATGGTAGCTGCGCACCAAACCAAATGTCCAAACCTGCGGTTTCTGTTGTACTGAGCAGAATTATTATCGCAACGATGTGTCTCATGACGGTGTAAATTGTGTCGCAAATTCCTCGGTAGAATGTAGTAGGATCTGGTTACCAATATTGAAAGAGGAAGTTATTAATAAGAAAAATACCAGTACTGGTAAGTCAGTAACATATAGAGAATACATCATTTATGTTTTTAAATAACGAAACATATAAAATCAGAATTTGGTGTTTATTGAAGGTAAACTGATGCACGAACAAATACTTACCATGTCGGGATAGTATTATGAGGTTTTTTTTCCTGCTTTTTCCCACATAATTTACTATGGAATCACTAATAGGAGAATTTTACTGTCATCATGTCATGTGTTTGTCTTTTTAAAGACGAATTACATGCTATGATTTTTTTCTGACGGATATTCTCAAGTTAAAGTTGATTTCATGTAATCGAATGAACTATCTTATAAGTAAAGTCGTCCCAGGAGCGCAACTCAACAATATTGGCAATATCATTTTAAAGTCGTCTACTTTAAAATGCATAATGTATGTCTGAATTGTCAATATAAATGAGTCAGATAAAATTAAATTCTTAGAAGAATTTTTCACTATGTAACAAAAACAAAATTTGTTTAATTTACTGTTTGTATTTTGAGAACGATTTCGAAGTGGAAATTGAAAACGTCAATAAACGTATTTTTATCTTTAATTGTGGCTTATTTCCCAGTTAAATAGTAATTAATTTAAAAAGCCACAAGAAAATAGCTTCAGAACAATATTCCTTAACTTGATAGTGCCACCATTACAAATCGACTGACCACAAGGGGGCTCTATAGTCAGCTGCGGTGAAAGTTTCGATTTACACGAGACCCCCAGCGGAATCACCGGAGAAAAACTTAAAATTAACTGGGACTGACTTATACTTGGACAAACCGTGGACTGTTTTAAGAATTTCATTTTTATCAACAATGGACTGATATTGCAATTACGTTTGGATATTGGATTATACTTGGACATTGGAATTAAGTTTGGACATTGGACTATACTCAGACAAGGGACTCTAATTAAATGAGAACAAAACAAAGTCAACTAGGCACAATAACAGGAAGATAAAATCAAAAAAATACGAAAGGTAATAAAAAATATCTTACCCTTTGTCTGGGTAAAATATCCTCCCCACAGACAATACTACATACTGGCTCAGTGGAAAATGAATTTAGATAAATAATATCAAAACACTACTGTCAACCTTAGTCAAATCAGTGAGGGTTGTTTTAACAGAGAATTATATGGCAGCCCAGCGGTAACTTTTAAAAAGGTTTATATATTTAATACTGATGGGCCTAACTGGGAGTCAGGATAGACAAGTGAGTGGTCTTACGAAATAATCTCATGGGGAAATGTTTGCTGGATATTAAAATGATGTACGAGGGGATTTGGATAAGTCTTACTTGATTGTTCGAACTGGACGGCTTCCTTCCACTTTACAAGAATTGTACATATAGCTTATTGTTTGTGAAGGGACACATTGCAATAAACATTAGGTATTATTATACTTTAATTTTTTCGCGACTTTAAAATTTTTATGATTGATTTCAGCTGATGATATTTTATATTCGCATTTTCTCATTTTGAAGCTCTTGTGATGGTGAATACTTAACCACTTTTTTCATGAATATTAAAAAATATACATTCTATATTATGTTCTATTTATCCATATCAGATGCAGTATTTTTCTGTATACCCACGTCGCAAAAGCAAAACAATAATGCTATTAAACATGTATTTTTACCTCATCTTGATGTTTTTTTAAAGTCGACAATAATCATAAATAAAAAAAATTACAACCTTGCAGTTTTTATGATGTTTTATAATAATTAAATTTGTTTTAAGAATATGTTTACACGTCATGCTTCAGGAATTTTATAATTTATCAAATTAAGATCTCTTTTAAAATAAGAGTTTTAACATAGTAAACACCATGGAATAAATGCATATGTAATTTTTAAAATATATCCAATAGCTAAACCTGAACAGCTTATTTCTATAAAATATAAAGTTTTACCTTATTTAACGTGTTGTTTTTCTAATGCGCTACATTGATTACACCCGCCTCTAACAATTTTCTGCATTTTTTGTAGAACCATTTGTCTTTGACCTGAAAACAAGTTTCAGAGTCTGCAATAATCTCTTCATTTCATCTTATTTTTCTTTTAGAAGATTCTTTTGATAATAGACCAGCATTTCTGTTTCTGATCGACCTAAAGAAAGCGTTTGACAGGTAAGACTAAAAGATGTAATCCATCCTCTATATAAGAGAGAATTTTCCCTAAATATTATAAAAACTATCGAAAACATCTACCAAAACAACAAAATAGAAGTCAGAATTGATTGACAACTTACAGAACCTATAGAAATAGGCAGCAGAATCAGACAAGGAAATCTTAATCCTTGGTTCCATCGGAGTGGAGTCGGAATAACATATCAAACTATTAGTTTAATGAAAGACTGTATTTTCCACCAGGAAATAGCTTCACTAATTTGTGCTAGTATACCAACCACAACTGTTCTAGACTGCGGTTAGTCTGTCGACTTGTCAGTCGTAATCTACATTGATAGCTTTGCTCGCGGAGATAATCTTTGACTGGATTTGGATTCTTTCGTGTGCGAACTTGACTTTAAGCGTTCGTCGTGTTAAAAATCTATAATTTTGACATACAGTTTGATGTTCGCGGAGTTTTTCTAACCGGTACATGATCAATCAGAAACAAGTACATTAAATTCGTGGATTAAAGTGCTGAAATGTCACGACCATAGACATACGATACAAATAGACAGCGTTTCAATACAGCGTTGTTCCCATAGTACGATAGAAAAAAAACTGACGCAAAGCAGTCCCTGTATCTCTTTCTAATGGTCCGGATTTCTTGACCTTCTTCTTCTTATAGTGCCGTGAACCTATAGTGCGTTGGCGAATTATCTTAAGGCCTTGTCTTTTGCGGCATGCAAAAGATCTTACCCTATCTGTCCATGGTATGCGGAACATTCTTCTCAACGTCCACATTTCGAAGGCCTCCAACAATTTCTTGACCACTTGACCTAAATATGACCAGTGTGAAGGTCGCATTGTCGATAAACCCGGCCCATTAGAAAAAGACGTAGGGATTGCTTTGCCCGATTCTCTCTGTCGCACTGGGGGAACGGTAATTTATTGCAGTGATCAGTCTATTTGTATTTTATGTCTATGGTCACGACATTATCATTCAATCTTCGCTTATCCACTGCTGGACATAGATCTCCCTCATAATTTTCCATCTATTTCGATCTTGTGCCTCTTGCGTCCAATTCCTATGACAACGTTTTAGATCGTCAGTCCAACGCGTTGGTGGATGACCTCTGCTTCGGTAGGCATCATCTGTTGGTCTCCATTCCAGTATCCGCTTTGTCCATCTATTATCTGCCATTCGAGCCACGTGACCTGCCCAGTTCCATTTCAGTGTTGCTATTCTTTCTACTGTATCAGCCACTCCTGTTCTTTGTCGTAGCTGGCGAATAATGGTCACGACATTAAGTCCTAATTGGTCCGAAATCTGTCGAAAATTATTCAGGAACTACCTCTGGGAACAAAGCTAATCTCAGCGTAGTCGCAGTAACAGAAACTATTAGTAAATATCTCATATTGGTCGAGGTGTGTGGCCTCGAGACACGATGATACGCCAGCTCACGTTCCGACGCCACGAGGGGCGTAATCGTTCAAATTCTAAAACCCTTTCTAAAAAAGTCGCTACTGCGCATATTCCAGAG